AAAAAAAAAAACACTATGGAAGTCACTGGGGACCAGCAGCTGTTTGGTTCCCACATTCTTCAAAATATCTTTTTTTAAGTGTTCAACAGAAGAAAGAAACTCATTCAGGTTTAAAACAGCTCGAGAGTGAGTAAATGACAGATTTTTTTATTTTTGGGTGAACTGTCCCTTTAAATGTTAATAAAACAACAAAACAGAGAAAAATCACTGGCTGCTCTTGCTTTAATACAGTTGCTTTAATAAGAATCAGTGTATAATTTATACAGTGAAGTGTATATAGTGTTTTAGTCTTATATTTGTTCATCTAAATACAGCTAAATACACCTACTGTACCTGAAAAATAAAGCACTGCTTGTTTTATTTTTAATGCGTGTCTTTCGTCTTCTTTTTTAAGAACAAAGATAAAATAATGACAAAGATTTTTATCTTCGCCCACTTTGGCCTAAACATCTGCCACTCGTTTTTATTTAATATTTTGTTACCTTATAAGGCTTTGTTTTTAAAATGGGGAAATCAGTTTGGCTGTGCTGCAAAAAAAAAAAACAACATGACAAGGAGTCGCGATAAAATCGTGATTTTCCAGAAAATTTTTTTGATATTTTTATTATAAAGCGGATAGTTCCGGTCCTTGACTCTGATTGGCTGAGCCGCGTTCGAAGCTGTTGTAAATGACTCTACAAAGTAACATACACCTTTGTTTACGTTTGTGTGTTGCTCGGCAACCACTTTGTTGCAACCACAACTGTTTCTGAGGAGCTACATTGTTTGGTGGAAGAATACTGTTTTTATTAATATCATTACACTTTATTTGCTCTGTTTTATTTTGTGAAACCTTACTACGTATATGGAATAACCGTTTTATAAAAGCAATAAGCCCCGTGAAGCCGTGGTTTACAGTGAATATATAACCGCTAAGGAGGTTTTAGACTTAAATTCACTAAATGTAAACCACGGCTTCTTGGGGCTTACTGCTTTAACATATCGCCCAGCCCTACTTGTGAGAATATAGAAACAGAAATAATACGAGGAAGAACCTTTGAGGCCGGTGCGTATTAACGTGGGTGAGAGGTCATCGTAGTTGCTCATCAAACTGACGTCTCCAGACGTGAAGCAGACGGTCAACAGCGGCTTCAGACGGTGCACTGGAAGAAAAAGAGTGTTCCTGTTATTGTGAATAACCAGCAGGGCTCATCCTAACCCAGCGGTGCATTATTTACTGGGAGAACTGCTGCTGCTACGACCGAAGAAAGACCGGATCATGATCACACGGATGATGCAAACACAAGATCAATATGCATCTGAAGAGAGCTGTTACCCTGCAGAGGCGTGTAATCGTCCGAGTCCGTGTCGCTCTCGCTGCTGTCCTCCAGCAGAAAGCTGGGGTAATTCCAGGCCATGCTAGCGATGCCCTCCGCCTCGTGCAGCAGTATATGAGCCAGCATCCGGCCGTGACAGTCCATGACGATCACCTGCCCGTCCGCTGTGCCAAACAACACCTGACGAGCAAAACAAACCCTTAATGAGAGAAACTGTAAGTCTTCTTAAGAGCTGCGCAAGTAAGATTAATACAGAACAAACCCACACAATCCTGCGTCTCGTGTTCTTTTCCTTGTTTAAACAGACTGCGGCTCACGTTAAAATACTCAAGACATGTTTGATTTAATATATACATGTGTGACCCTGCAGCACAAAAGCAGTGTTAAGTCGCTGGGGATGATGCATAAATCTAAATTTTGACAAATTGACACTTATGACTGGTTTTGTGCTCCAGGGTCACACATGTGTGTGTATTGGTTTAATTGGTACATATGTATTAGAAATATACTAATACATCAACACATATCAATTAGAGGTTGACTGATATTGGATTTCACTGATGTGTTTAAATAAAGGCAGTAAACAGATTGTTGTGAGAGTTAAATAATGCCCTTATTCTTTCTTTCCTGTGAGTTTACATAAATTGAACACCAGATACAGTTTATTTATTGTGTAACCAAAATACCAATAATATCCAGAAGAAAAAATAGATTTTATGCATAATGCAGGACTTTTAATTATAAACAAGCCTGACTCTTATTTTGAAATGTTTTTAAATGTAAATTATGTTAAAAAAATTTTTTTTTACATCTTATTTTCCACTGTATTTATAAAATGTTTATATTTCTTATGAAACTTTTTATTACTTTTTTTCTCTAAAGCACTGTGTATGAAACATGCTATAATTAAACTTGCCCTGGCTATTAAAATAAGAATTATTATAAATCAATAAATTAAATATAAAAATAATTAATACAATTATTAATTTAATTGGTTAAATTTTAACATCTTTTTTATATTTCTTATAAAACTTTTTATGATTAATTTACTTTTTTTAATTTTTTTTAAGTATTTCGACTATTACCATTTTTTTATTATTTTTCTGTAAAGCACTTTGAATATCACTGTGTATGAAACGTGATATAAATAACAAAAAAATTAATGAATAATAAATAAACTTACTTTCCCTATTAAAATCATATAAATTATTGTAACTTTTAAAAAATTATTTAATTAATTTTTTTCATATTTATTTATAAATAACAATAAATAAATTAAATAAATACATAAATAATTGATAAAGTCATAATTATAAAGCGGAGAGTTCCGGGTTCGAAGCTGTTGTAAATGACTCTACAAAGTAACACACACCTTTGTTTACGTTTGTGTGTTGCTCGGTAACCACTTTGTAGCAACCACAACTGTTTCTGAGGAGCTACATTGTTTGGTGGAAGATACTGTTTTTATTAATATCATTACACTTTATTTGCTCTGTTTTATTCTGTGAAACCTTACTACGTATATGGAATAACCGTTTTATAAAAGCAATAACCCCCGTGAAGCCGTGGTTTAGTGAATTTATAACAGCTAAGGGGGGTTTAGGCACTCCACAATGCCCCTTAGCTGTTATAAATTCACTGTACCTCGGCTTCTTGGGGCTTATAGCTTTATTTTGAATTAGTTTTTAGATTTAAGATAAGACTTAAATATGCCATCATATCTGATATGTGTCAGTAAACCTGCGGTCACCTGCTGGTCGTCGGGGGTCCAGATCCCACAGGTGATCTGACTCTCCAGGTTGATCTCCGAGGACCAGTGGCGCTGACCGCTCACCGAGCCCACCAGCACGAAGCCGTCGCGGTACGAGATCAGCGCCTGCATGCCGTCGTGAGACCAGGTGAAGTCGCTCACCTGCGCAGGTACAGCAGGTTAAACACCGCGCCTCGTTTGAGGAACATCACTGGAGCTGTAGGACGGCTCACCTGAGCTCCGCGGTCATTGACCAGCTCCACTGACCAGCGGCCCTCATACTGGATCCAGACGAAGATCCCGCCGTCGGTGTCGCAGGTCGCCAGCTTCTGGAAGGGCTCGTTCCATCGCACCAACACCACCTGCGAGAGCAGCACAGAAAACACTCGCTCGTCTGATTTCAAACCAAACCGTACGCTTCGGGTCACACAGCTGCTTCCCAAACAATCAGCAAATATTACTCGTGAGAGTGTGGAGCGATACGAGCAACTATAAACACGAGACGATATCATATTCACTGACAACTAATTATGAAGGTTTCCCGCAGCGTTTGACTTTTACAATTGTTGGAATTAATAGATTTAAATGACTCTTTAGCATTTAAAAGGTATGTGAATTTATTTTTCCCTAGCCTTTTTAATGATATTTTTGGCATATTTGAACCAAATTTATTAGTAAAATAATGAGTGTGAAATGTATATTTCTCTTAAGAGATGGTGAGCGATCAGTAATGTGACATCAGAGCCGTTCCCTTCACACACACACACACACACACAGAGACATACACACACAGAGACACACGAGTCTGATGAACCCACAGCTACACATATACAGTAAAGATATAGAAGTACATTATGGTACAGGTCTTTCGGTTCGGTACGCATGTGAAATACAGCATTGTTTTAACCACTGCACGAGTGAAACTTCACTGGAAACTTACTCACTCACTCACTCACACAAACACACACACACACACACACACTCACACACGCACACGCACGCGCACACACACACACACACACACGCACACACACAGACACACACACGCACGCACACACACAGACACACACGCACGCACACGCTCACACACGCACACACACAGACACACACACACGTTCACACACAGACACACACACGCACACAGACACACACAGACACAGACACACACACACAGACACACACAGACACACACTTTTCAGATCTTGAAGTCACGGATTTAAAGACATTTAAAGTAAATCGAGACATTTATCTATATTTTAGAACCAACAAAACAACAACAAAAATTCCATTAGCCATTATATTTCCTTTTTCAGGTGAAATTACAACTTTAAAATGTATTTACCCTGGAATTTATTAATGCAATTTTTATACAAATCTGAAAGAAATTCAGCCATTTATTCCAGATATTTTAGAACCAAGCAAAACTTAAGTAAAAATAAAAAATAATATTCTCAAGAAATTAAACAATATGAGAGCGTGATTGATGGACAGTTTCAAAATTAGTTTTCTTTACTTTCTCTTTTACTTGTTTACTTTTATAAATGCAACGCATGCATTTCAGATGTTTCCGAACCAAGCAAAACTTAAGCAAAAGTAAATATTTATATTAAATTTTAAAACTTTTCCTAGCCTTTTCAATGCATTATTAACGCAAATCTGAAGCAAATCAAGAAATTTACTTTAAATATTATTATAGAAGCAAAAAACAAAACACGTATATTCACAAGAGATCGACTGAGTGATTGATGATCAATAAAACGGACACTTTTTCAGGTCTTGTAATCACAATTTTAAAATGAAAATGTATTATTCCCTGCCATTTTTATGCATGTTTTGAAGTTAACTGAGTCATTTATATTAGATATTTTAGAACCAAGCAAAACTTTAGTAAAGTATTATACTCACAATTTCAGAATTAAAACAGATTTGTGCGCAAGTCCTCACCTCACTGTTGTGTCCCCGGAGGTTGAAGTTGATGCGCTGCGGGGAGGGCCGGTCTCTCCTGCCGTGGCTGGAGGTGAAGGTGACGCCCACGACTCCCCGGCCGTTCCCCGTGGCCAGCCAGCCCTCCTCATAGCAGCGCCTCCTGCACACGGGCTTCTCCTTCTCGCTGCGGGGCACGCGGCCCTTCCAGGACAGGCACAGGATGTTGGAGTCGCTGCAGAGGACGGGCCCAAGCTCCACCGCCGCGAACATGCCGACCCGAGGCTCCGCGAGCGGCTGCACGCAAATCCACAGAGTCACCCGGCTCACCGGCGGGTCCCTGGGGTCCAGGTGAGAGCGGCCGCTGCTTCACAACCACTTCCGGCCCAAAAGTACTGCATAAAACGACCAGCAAGGCACATAAATTAGGTCAGGCCGACCAGCTGAGACACAAGGCCTGCCTTTCCGGGGAATACTGAGGACAGAATTCACCAAAGAGGCAAATATCCAAGTCACAGGAAACCTTCTCCTCCTTGACGCTGGGGACTTAGCCTCATGACGTCATTACGGCCGGCGCCCCGCTCCCAGTGACGTCATCGACGGACGGAACGCTCCTCTCCGCGCGCTCATGGCAGCTGCTCGGCTCCGCCCGTGACGTCATCGCATCAGAGGAGCCGCCGGCCAATCAGCGTCGGGGATTCCTTTAAGAGGACAAGGGCAGAACATAAACACAAATAACACACTGAACGCGTTCACAGCTAAATATGAGCGCCACAACAGACAAATGCTATAACGCACACGTTCGTTTCTGAGGTACCAGAAACATCTTTCTTCAGAATAAAAGGCGCTTTAGTTTGCCCTGAATTACATGCTGAAACTACACGAAACGAAAAATAAAACGCCGCTGCTCACCATATTGCCTAGTTATTGCATTAAACGTGTAATTATAGTTAAAAACAAAGCGATTGTTTATCTAATGCTCTTGTTTACGCGCTGAACATCCATAATGCAATCTAGATCCAACGATAATAACAGCATTCTGAGAATTAAACATGGATGAATTCAGTATAAATATAGAATACTAGTCCTGACGATCCAAAAATAAGAAACTCAAATGAAGATATAATATGTGGTTATTAGATTAAGAGAAGGAAAGCGCTTTGGCTGTATTTCTGTCATTTGTGTCTTTGTTAGCTCCGCAGCTACACTCACCTCAGGCGCTCCTCGCTGGTTTTCCGCTTTAAAACGCAAGACCCGGATGAGCTGGAGGAACGGAACCGGTCCACGGATGATAACGAACCCCGAGCGGAGCGGTTCTGCTCGTTACCTGCGCGTGTGGGAGTCAGATGAGCGTGTTTTTAGCGCTGCTGTCTCTGATTCCGACGCTGTCCGTGCCCTGCGCTGGGTCACGTGAGCACCACGTGACCACCCCCCCCCGCGCTTTTATTTTGATTTAATTTCCAGAACATGCTCAGAGCACGTGTATTTGTAAGATTTCACACTAATACGACATCATAAATCATCCTAAATGCTATTTAATTAAAATTACATTTAATTAAATAAATAAAAAAATGTATGTATTTCTACGTCTTCACCTCACATTCACCAAAATAACACAGAACCTGAACACTGAAATGCTACAATATTTAAGAAACCAAAACGCAGAATGCACACATACATTCTGGCATACTAAATCGAAATTATGAGTTATCATTAAGTCATAATGATGAGAAAGAAGTCCTAATTATTTATGACTTTAAAAGTCTAAATTGTGACATAAAGAGTCATAATTATGAGATAAAAAGTAGAAAATATGGCATGAAAAATAGAAATTATTACATAAAAAGTCGAAATGATGACGCAAAATTCTTAAGTATGAAATAAAAAGGTTGTCAAGTCATATTTATGAGATGAAAAATGGTGATAGTTATTTTTTGCTTTTTTATCTAATAACTATTTTATGTCTGTTTATTACTTAGTATGTCGAAATTAGAACGCTTTTTTTTTAAAGTGGCGAAAACGGGCTTCCATATATCTGCGGAGCGAATAAACTACTATCTTTCTGCAATTATTGTTAATGCCGCATAATAAATGAGCAGATATAACAAGTATATCGAGTAGTTTTCCACCCAGTGTTTTAGTTTTAAGACAAAACTGCTCTAAAAGCGGCTAAATTAAATCTCATAAAACTCACCAGATTGCAGTTCCATTTCCCTTGTCTCTCCTCTGACGTCGCTTCCGCTTCCGCTTCCTTCCAGAAAACATGGCGGCCTCCTCTGTTCGCGTCCTGTCGAAGATCATTCACGGACACTTCCTCCCGGTACTGCAGCCTCTTTCACGTGCTTTATCCGTCTCTGTCTCCGTTACTAGCCTAACCTAGCACTTCATCGTGTTTTAAGCGTTATCTGTCGTGTGCTGTGTTTCACAGGCTGCTGCAGTCCGGCATCAAACCTGCAGTTCACGGTCAGTGCCTCACACACACACACTCACACACTGACACACACACACACACACACACACACACTCACACACACA